TTAGCAAATACCTGGTCTAGTGGGAAGGAAGCTTAGAAGAAACTCCAAAGTTGTGTTTGGCGGCTGGGTTTCTAAGCCTCTGAGTTCTGTCTTGTTTCGGGGGATCTGCTGACATCTGTGTTACTCACCCAGAAGAGTATACACTTGGAGACCTACTGTGATGACAATTTCAACTCTGAAATCACGTAGGAGGCAAGACACTGGGCATGTTTATGAGGGATTTTCTAGATTGGGAATTTTCTTTCCTTTATAAAATTAATTTTATTTAAAAACAATCTTATACCAATCCCGGTTCCCTTTCCCTCCCATCGTCCTCCCATTCCCCTCACCACTCCCCCATCCTATCCTCTATCCACTGCTCAGGGAGGGTGAGGCCTCCCATGGGGGATCATCAAAGTCTGTCACATCATTTGGGCCCTCCCCCACGTACTAGATTGGGAATTTTCTAATTGGGGTAGCAAGATGCCTCCTAAATGTGTACAGCATCATGCTATGGGTTGGGATCCCAGTTGAAATAAAGAGAACGTGAACTCAGTGCTAGCTTTCATTGCTCTACACTTCCTGACTGAGGATGCAAAAGGACCATCTGCTTCATGTCACCTCTGTGTCTTCTTTGCCATGGTGAACAAGACTTTCAAGCCATGAGCCCACATCAACCCTTCCTATTCGGAAGTTGTTTTTTGTCACAGCAACCACCAAAGTACCTAACATACCTGCCTCCATTTGGGAACATTTCTTGTAGAGTGTGTACCAAGACCTGAAGGGGCAGCAGCAGATGGCACCTGTGAGGTTCAAACAAAGGCTGAGGAGAGCTTGGGTTGAATAGGGACAGAGGACCAAGAACTCTGGAAGACCATGGAGGTTGGAGACAGAGGTGACTATGGAAGCGGGATAAGCTGAGAGGGGCCCACATGCTGTGGGAAGTGTCTAGAGCAAACTGGGAAGTGAGAAAGACAGTCATGTTGGGGGAAATTACATCTTAAAAATAATAACATCTGGACCACCTCCCTAGCTGTGGTACATAGGATAGATGGAGACTGGGCAGGCCGGGTGTGGGAAAAGAGTTGAAAGCAACTCTGAGGTGAAAAAGAGAGTGAACTAAGTTGGATTGGAAAGGAAGAACATGGTATTTTATGACTCATTTGCAGGCCGCAGGGACCAACCTCCCCCGGAGTTTTGTGGGGTGAGGGAGAGGCCTTGGAAGTTCCCAGCTTGAGCAATTGTCTGTCCAGGATATTGATGCTTGTTAATTAAATAAAGAAGACCAGGAAGGATGCAGGTTAGAGGAGGAACTTAATGTTGAGTTTGACCTATGAAGTCACACAAGCATAGATGTCCCTGCTCTTATAACCCTGCAGTCCCATGAGAATCGTGGCAGTGATATCTTATCTTGTCACTGTTTCTCATCTTCCGTTTGCTCTCAGTTCAGTTTCTGTAGGACTTAGGAGCTATGACCCACTATTTAAATCCTATCCTTGCTCACATTTTCAGCTCAGTGTTTACCCAGTGTTAAGGACTTTAGGGCTTCATGATGGCTCCCACAATTCTTAGGTCTAAGCTCCAACCCCAGTGTCTCTGTGGAGATAGCCCAATTACCTGTATAAAAGTCATTAAAGTGAGATCATTGAGGGAGGATTCAAACCCATCACTTGGTGTTTTTGCACAAACTGGAAATTAAGTCACAGGTTGTTACAGAGGGATCTCCTCAGCTAACACAGACACAGAAGAAGGGACAGTCTAAAAGCCAAGTGGAGAGGACACAAAAGGAACCAACTGTACAGACACATTGATCTTGAACTTCCAGCCTCCAGACTGCAAGACAACAAATTTCTTTTGCTCAAGCCATCCAGTGTATGATGCTCTGCTACGGTATTGCTTGTAGACAACTACTGACCCAGCTGTGTCCTTTTTCCGGTTTTTGTCTAAGCAGTGGGCGTGGTGGGACAAACACTAGCTCACTAACCGGCCTTTCTTTGAACTTTTGACCATTTAATGACTCCCTGAGAACTCGTCTGCTCCACAGTCTGATTAGTTCCCATCAGCGCTTCGATGTGCCCACAGGAGCTTTCTTTTTAGTTCACGGAAGAAACATTCAGGAGAGAATGTGCTTGTGTGTTAACACCAAGTCCTAAAAGTCTCAACCCCCAGCCATATTCTCCACCTCTTTTTTTTTTTTTTTGTGAGAGGCTGTACTCCCGCCCACATCCCTACCATGCCTTGGATTCCTCTCCCCCTCTCCTGCATTTGTCAAGTGTTACTGGACTAGTGAGTCAGCTTGTGAACCTCCAAAAGTGCTGGGATAAGTCTAATCTCAGAACAGGATGCTCTTTCCTGGATCCCAGAGCATTATTTACTTGCTCATCACTGTGAGAAAATAGCTAACAGAATAACTGAAAAGAGGAAAAATTCACTTCGGCTCAAGTTTCAGAGGCTTTAGCTCATGATCTCTTGGCTTTATGCTTTTGGTAGAATATTATGTGTCATAGGGGAGTAGTTCACTTCATAACCAACCAGGAGGCATAGCACTGGACAGGATTAAAGACCTTTATCCAGTGACTCAATTCCTCCGTCTTGACCCCTCCTCTTAAATGTATACAACCCTCCTAAATATCACTGCTTCCTGAGCACCAAGAGTTCCAAACCATGAACTTGTAGAGGATGCTACACATCCAAATCGTAATGCCCAACGTTGTCCACTTGTGTCATTTCTCTGTTCCCTTTGACATTATAAAAACAAACAAACAAGGAACAAACAATGAACAAACAACTCCCCCTTGTAACACAGTTGCACTCTACTTACTGATAGCACATTCACATTCTTTTGAACCCTCTGTGCTAGGCTGTATCCTTCTTATTCTCTGAAAATGTTCCCTCCTGAGGATGGGAAGAAGGGTCATCATTTGAGTGTCTGCTGCTCTTGCAGGAGACTCCTAACATCTACACCAGGCAGCTTCCAAACATTTACAGCTTCAACTCTGGGGGACCTGATGCCCTCTTTTGGTCTGTATGGGTATACCACATATGAGCATGAACACACACACACACACACACACACACACACACACACACACACACACACACACACACACTGTGTTGTTGCTGTTGCTGTTTTGAGTTCCCTTTTGTCAAGAAGAACTGAGCTGCACTTACTTCTTGTTCAGGAGTCATCCTTCCATGCCCTCTTTCTGGGATTCCAGCACGTTTCTGGCTCCTGTTTCCAGCATGTCTCACAAGACTTTGAAAGCTCTGCCTTCTGTCTGTTACACAGTCTCTCTGTGACCTTATAATCCTCTTTACAAGCCTGTGCTGAAGCTCAGCTGAAGCCTCACGTGCCAGGTCTGCAACAGTGGTCGCTTGTCATGCTTGTCATCACTCTGTGCTTGAATTCAACTCAGTGTCTGCTATTTTGGGTCTCAAACTTACTTAACAAAATTCTCCACTTATGGCTTCTCCCCCCCCTCCCCCGGCAAACTTAAGCTACTTAATTCCAGCTTTCCTAATTCTATACCTAGCAGTAGAGTCCTTCCTTTGATAAGTTCTCAGACCAAAAGTAGTGGTGGTGTCATTGACTCCACCTGTCCTTGCAAACCATATTGGCAAATTCTGTTGCTTTTGCTTTGGAACCATTTCCAGGGTCTGATCGTTTTTTAAGTTAGCTGTTTTGTTACTACTCTACAGTTTAAAGTCATGACACCTAAGTTTCCATTTTTGTTCTTCAATGCCAGGATGAGCCTTTCACTTATCACCCGAAGTGGCTCACTGACCTTGAATGGTTTAATACTGAAGGGTGGGCTGGTGAAATGACCTAACGGGTACAGTCCTCTGTTGTCAGGCCTAATGACCTGAATTCAACCTCTTGGACACATGTGGTATAGGGAGAGAAAAGATTCCTCAAAGTATGTGGCATACACACATACACACACACACACACACACACACACACACACACACACACACACGCCCCAAATGAATAAGCAAAATGGCAACAAAAATTTTAAGAAATGAAATGCACTAAAAAAAAGTTCTCCTGTCATCCAGAGCTGTGGAGACCTGTTCTCCCGAAGCTCTCACAACTACTCTCTCTCCACTCTCTAGTCTAGCTACATTGGTTGCCTTTCCATATCTTAGAACAGGACAAGGGGCTTTCCTGCCTCAACTTTTGCATCTAATAAGCCCTCTGCCTGGAAAATGACTGTCCCATGGAACTCCTGTGTTAAGATCTGTTATGTGACAAGCCTCTGTTTAAGTAATAGATGTCTTCTTGGGAAGGGGAGGCAGCAAGAGCCACTGTCATTTGGGGTTCCCACTTGGGATGAAGTATTACTGCATATGAAATGTGTTGCAAACATCCCATCAAGTATAAAATCCCATCACTTCAGCAGCTCCTTTGAGCAAGCATTAAAAACTTACATTTACTGAGCAGTCACTTACCATGCCTTAGGGATTATGCTAAACCCCTAGAAGATATCAACACATCTAATCATAGCAAGCCATGATGGAATGAATGTGGGTCTCTACTTCACATTTATCTAATTCAGAGAGGCCAGTTAACGTGACACTTTAACAACCAGGGCTGGGTTTGAAGTGAGACCCTGGAGAGGAGAAGCAGACTGAAGCTGTGACTTTAAAGATGTTGGGACAGGATTTTATCAAAGTTCAGAAATAGAGGTAGGGCATTCATTGCCAGCCATTAGGTGGAGAGAGGAAGGGGGGAGGGAGGGAGGGAGAGAGAGAGAATGTTAGGCAGACTTTACCCTCCAGGGAACACATGTAGCCAAAGTGTCAAATGTATTAGCGACAGAAGGTGCTGGCCAAGGAGTATGCCCAAGCTGTTTGAGCACCTGAAGAGGCTAAAGTGCTTGCTTCGCCTGGAGAGGGAGGCTCCGGAGTCTGGTAGTAAGCAGTTGGAGTGTCTACTGACATCCTTAAAGCCTTATTGGTCCAGTCACCCGTGCAACTTTGAAGCAGGGGTGAGGGGTGGGAAAGGAAGCAGATAAAAGGCAAGTGAAAGAAAGGAGGAGGGGCAGGCTTCCACCCCGCCAGCACTGTGCTCTCTTCCTGCCTAGCCTGGGCTGGTCTCCAGGAGTCCCATGGCCAACTATGAATTTAGCCAGGTGTCTGGGGACAGACCCTGCTGCCGCCTCTCTAGGAAAGCCCAGATCTGTCTTGGAGTAGGTCTCGTACTCCTGATAGCGTCGGTAGTAATAGCGGTCATATTTCTGTGGCCGCGCGCACCCCTGGTGTGGAAAGGGAATCCTACCACGAAGCACTTTCCTGAGATCTTCCTGGGACGGTGTCTCGTCTACACTCAAATCCTCCGGCCTGAGATGAGGTGAGTTGACATTTGAGGCACACTCTGGGCACGGTGCATAGCTGGACACCGGGGAGGCAGGCTGTGACCCAGCTGGAGTTCGCGGGGGAGCGTCCAGACTGTCCCAGACAAAGAATCTTGTGATGCGGGTCAGCTGGGAGGCGAGAGGCAGCGCTGAATAGGAGTCTCCAATGAGCCCTAAGTCCCCTGTGCAAGTTACCAGAACACTGCCTCCTTCACCACCTCGAGGGGGCCGCAGGAGGGCTTATCCGTGCTGAGCTTTGCAAAGATGCTAGTCTCGCAGCACAGCGGGTTCTGAGCTGGGTCTTTGAGACCACCCTCGGCCACAGCCAAGCGCGGCAGGGAGACACTATGACTCGCAGATGCAGGAACTTTACACTGTCATTTGGCTTGTGGTTTCCATCTGCCGCTGTCCATGCCCAGAAAGTTATGGTCACAGATAACACTTGACTAAGTAGCTTGCTGAGTATGCTGTGAGGGTAGAGGGAGTCAAAAGACAGATATCTGCCTGGAATTTTATTTATCTTTATAAAACAGCATCCTGGAATGGCAGTTCATGCCTATAACTCCAGCACTGAGGAGACTGGTGCAGGAGGATTGCTATGAGTTTGAAGTTATCCAGGGCTGCCCAGCTACTTTGTAAATTCTGGGACAAGCTTGGGTTGCACAGGGAGACCGGCCTTGAAATAAATACATTAATTAATTAAAACACAAACCAAACCAAAAAAATCAAGTCCAAACAGCATCCTGATCCTTTTTGCTCTTGATCTTCAATAAAACAAAGCAAGATAGACTATAAGACTGAAATATTACCCACCAGATAAGCTGAATTAGCTTGGTGAACTTGTGCGGGCCCTTGGATGTTTGCTACACACACACACACACACACACACACACACACACACACACACACACATGCATTTTATATTTTATGTGAATAGATACTTACTGTTTTCGAGGCACTTAAAAATAACCAACTGTGTAGTCCTTTAGCAACCACAACAGAGCTGAGATATGTCTCGGTGGCAGGGCTCTTGCCCAGTTTATTCAGTACCTTGGGTTCATTCCCAGCATCTCAGAGTGAATGGAAGATAATAGAATGGGACAGAAGACAATCACGTAGAGTGAGTTATGTTATGACTGATATATCCACTTTACAGATAAGCAAATTCGAATTAGAAAGTTTGCGTAAACTGTCTACATGTGGTTGTACAGATTGAACTTCCAAGGCACTAAACTAACTGCCTATGCACGTTTTGTATGTAGAGTGACTGTGAATTTTATAGGTAATGTGTAGAGATCTTTGAAACAGGAAAGAAACAGTAATTATAAGCATAATGAGTCAACAAGTTTACCCTGAACACATGGCACTTTTATCCTTCCATGGTTTGAGAATATGAACTCTGAAGCCAGATCATTTGAGCATGAATCTTGGTTCTGTTGCAGTATGACCTTGGACCAGGTCCTCAATGTATATGTAGTGTGGTGTGTTCTCTCCATGTAAAATGGAAACATTAACGACTGCAGTAAGCACCTGGAGAAATGAAAGAGAGTAAAAGGAATAATCCTGTCATGGTAAATGCTCTAAATGTTACTGCTGTGTAAACATAGTGTTGCAGACACCTCTCCACAATAATGAATGCAGATTAAGTTCAATCATTTGTGTATTAAATCACAGTTCCATAATTCAGTTCAATGCTGAAAGTCCAATGTTTCTAATTTATTGAGCTATCTTGTTAACCTAACACTTGGTAGTTGGGGTCTTTCTTATTGGTAGAATTCTATTCTTTATGTGGTAAATGTAATCATTTACTTCCAATTTGTAATTATGTATCTCTCTTACATTTGGGGAGCATGTGCCACAGGACAACTTGCCTCCCACTATGTAGGTTCTGGAAATCAAACTCAGGTGTTCAGGCTTGGCAGCAATCACCTTTATTCAGTGAGCCATCTTGCTGACCCATTTTGTAATTTTTGAATCACATTAACTAATTAATTAATTAATTCAACAAACGTTTTTGAGTCCCTACCGTGTTCCAGGCAGTGATCTGGACACTAATAGCACAGGAACAACAGAGTTCTAATTCTTGTGCAGCTTTCCTTCTGCAGAGAATGTTTTCAACTTATGCCTTCTTGTTTATGCTAGAGTGTTCTGTATGACAGATCTGGAGATGGAATTCCTGGGTAAAATGAGGTATTGCAACTATCTTCGTTAGGGTTTCTATTGCTGTAATGAGACACTGTGACCACAGTAATCTTATAAAGGAAAAAAAATTAACTGGGGCTGGTTCAGAGGTTTAGTCTGTTATCATCATGGTGGGAAGCAGGTGTCACACAGGCAGACATGGTGCTGGAGAAGGAGCCAAGAGTTCTACATCTGGATTGGCAAACAACAGGAAGAAAGAGAGACAGTTGGCCTGGCTTGAGGTTCTGAAACCTCAGAGCCCACCCACAGTGACACTTCCTCCAACAAGGCCACACCTCCTAATAGTGCCACTCCCAGTAAGTCTATGGGGGTCATTTTCATTCAAACTACCATAGTGCATATTTTAAGTTTTAATTGTTTTTGAATTCCAGATGTTTCCAAATCCTTTCTGAAATAGTTTTATTATTTCACACTCCCATCTACAGAGCCCACTTCTCCACAATCTGACCATTACTGAATGTCAAACATTTTTAATTAGGAGAAGAATAGAAAAACGGTATCTAAGTTTCCCTGTTTGCCAGCCAGCCTTAGTTCTTGTCTGACTTTTGTCCATTTAAATTTTGTTTAGATCTTCACCCTTTCTTTTGAGTTACTTACATGTGTGTTTGGGGGTTCTTTATGCTTCTAGATAATATTCACACACACATACACAAAGTGCTCCACAGCCACATCACTGAAAGCTCCACCCTGTGGACACATTTTTCTGACAACACCTGAGTTTCACGATTATCTTGCAGTTGTTTCTTATTTTGACACCTTTATCAATAAACACAGAATGGCAGTTTTATTTTCAAAGTTAGCCATTTGGAAGTGTTTGCTCTCGATTCTGCATCAAGAACCCAGAATTCTTCCCACTATGTATCTGTGCTTTCTGTTGTACAACTAAAAAGGGGAAAAATAATTGTCCTTTCAGTATTATACTCTAAGGCTCCTGAGGCAAAGCCTTGGGTTCATGAGGAGTGTCATACATCTTTACTTTTGCAGTTGACAGGGTTACAACATCTTGTATCACTTCTGCAAGGGGCTGCCTTATTTCCAGCCTCCAAAAACCACTTCCTGTGTGCCCATCAAGTCAACACAAAAGTCTTTCCTTGAGACTTTTCTTCTTCTGTCTGACATCCAGTGTCAGTGCTGATGTCACAGGATCTCTGATAAATGGAAGTAGTGTGTGTGTGGAGGGGTGGAATTGGTCCATGGGATCAAGGAGGCTGGCAATCTAAAACACCTGTGGTCTAAGACAACAGGTTGGAATCTCCAGAACTGCTGATACTGCAGCTTTAATCTGAAGGAAGTCTGGTAGGATCTCCTTACCTCCTGGAACCTTATTTAGTCTTTTTTCTTAAGGCCTGATAAGATGTGACCCACTCACAATTATGGTAGGTCTATGTTTTAATGTTACTTTCGTGTAATAGAACACCTCCATAGTGGCAGGCAGATATGTTTGAGCAAATATCTGTGTCATGTATGGTGATGCCACTTCCAATGACTCATCTGTTTACAGATTTTATAGATTCAGAATCTTATTACCAGGCACCATTTTCCTAAGTCTCTATAATAAACCACCATTTCTCAATTCAATGACTTACATTAAGGATTGCTTAAATCCCATGCTTCTGCGGGTGGACAGGGATCACCTTGGCACCAGCTTCACTCAATGTCATCTGGATCTGCCATTACTCAGGGCATTATTCAAGATGTTTTGCTTTAACGACTGACATCTTTGCTCGACAGAGATGTCTCTCTTTCTCCTTTTGTTGTCTCTGTATGATCCTCTCCACACGATCCTTTCCTATTAGACCAGGGTCTCTTCAGGGTTTACATACATTCTAACATTACAGTCATCTAGGTCCTCCTAAAGCTTCAGGCTCATAACTGGCATTGCTTCACTTTCCCAGGTCACCACACCAAAGCTAACTTAGACTTAAGGGTAGGAGAAAGACACTCTACCCAATGGGGGGAGGGATAATTCATTTTGTGGGTCCTCTTGGCTCTTCACATTTTGCATGGGAGCATCCTTGTTTCTGTTACATTGGCCTTTTGTTATGATTGCTCTGTTAATTCTATTGCTGCCTTTTGTAGCCTTTTATAAGTAGATTCGTAATGAAAAAATATACCATGTACTTTCTGCAATGTTACCTTGTTGAATTTAGGAATTATTATCCAGTAATATATTTTGAGCTCTCATATCAATACTTAAAATATAATAAGCTCAAAATATTTAGTTGAATCACATAAATGGCATGTAAGTGTATTACAAATAATATAAACAAAGCCATAATAAATATACCTCCCCAGTATTACCACACTAAAATCAATTTGTGTTTGGGTTATATAGACTAGGTGGGGACTGCAGATAGCTTTTTTTATAGACTATATGATTTTGTGGAAGGGGAGGCAAGGGTGAAATTGCTGTAACCAATGAAAAAAAAGCATTTAATTTGGGGATTGCCATTGTTACTGTCATATTGTTGTAAAGAGACATCTTGACCAAAGTGGCTCTTGTAAATGGAGGCATTTAATTGAGGGATTGTTTACAGTTTCAGAGATTAAGTTCACGATCATTATGGTGGGAAGTATTCAGGCATGATACTGGGTAGCTGCTAAGAGCTTGATATCCTCTGATCCGAAGGAAGCATGGCCAGGGGTAGGGGTGGGGGGGGGTGGGTGGGGGGACTGGCAAGGGATTTTGAAACCTCAAAGCCCACTCTTAATGACTCACATTCTCCAACAAGACCACACCTCCAACAAGGCCACACCTCTTAATCCTATCCAAACTCTTCCACCAACTGGAGCC